ATGGATAGGATTTGCCTTAAAATACTCTAGCCAAAGGAGAAAAAAGGCTGGAGGGGAAGTAAAGTAAGAATGGCAACACATGATAATTGTTGAGTTTCGGAAATGGCTACCTCGGTGTTCCTTAAGCTATTTGCTTTTTTGAATGTGTGAAAATTAACATGAAAAGTTAAAGAGCAAAAACAGTTCCTATATTTATTAATAAACACTAATACTAAGAAGCCACTAAAAAGTAATTTTAAAAGACTGATATCTTAGGAACAGCTCTGTTGTAATAATATAATACCACAGTATTTCTTCCATTAAAGAACTTTGTATTACCTTAGGAAGGGTCAATGAGCTACTGGCGATTTAGAAGCTTTAACTTCTTAATTTGGTCACCTGACCCTTACATTTGCAAAATGCAACAACTTTCTCATGGCAAAGTCCAGTTATGAGTGACGTATACTGCATAGAGTTTTTAAAAATGCTATGTGATTAATTTACTCATCCATAAAAATGTTTATTTGCCAGGCATTAGGTGGCAGAGCTGGGTATACAACAATGATCAGGAAAGACTGGTATTTATATTATATTTCCAGGTTGGTATCTGTTGAGACACCTTCAATCTTTGGTCCTAACTAGTCACTTCTGGGTCTTTTCCAGCTAGAGGCCTCTTCAAGTCTTGGGAACTCTCTGCCATGTTTGGGCCATTTTGCTAGCAAGAGTGCATTAGTCCGCATAGGCTAACTGCTCCTACAAATAACCTGCAAATTCAGTAACTCACCACAGTCGAATCTTATTTCTGACATCATGCTACAGTGTGGGTCAGCAGTGCGGTGGAGATGTGGAGTGGAGAGGAAAAGACAGCCCCATGCAGTGGAGTCATTCAGGGACCCGTCTAGAACAGGCATCTTAGCTTTCCTTCTGTAGCCCCCTTTGGCACTCTGGTGAAGCATAAGGACCCCGTCTCAGAAAAATGTTTTTAAAAGTTGTAAAAATTATTTGAGATTAACAAAGGAAAACAATTTTACTGAGATAGTTACCAAACT